GTCTCTTTTTCTGTTTTGCATATAGGGTTATCGTTACCATCTTTCTAAATTCCATATATATGTGTTAGTATGCTGTAATGTTCTTTATCTTTCTGGCTTACTTCACTCTGTATAATGGGCTCCAGTTTCATCCATCTCATTAGAACTGATTCAAATGAATTCTTTTTAATGGCTGAGTAAGATTCCATGGTGTATATGTACCACAGCTTCCTCATCCATTCGTCTGCTGATGGGCATCTAGGTTGCTTCCATGTCCTGGCTATTATAAGCAGTGCTGCGATGAACATTGGGGTGCACGTGTCTCTTTCAGATCTGGTTTCCTCGGTGTGTATGCCCAGAAGTGGGATTGCTGGGTCATATAGGGAATCCCAATATTAAACACAGAAATACATAATTATTTAGGGAAGAAATCCTAATAGGTACCTGAAGCCTTGGGGATCTGGGGCTTTTCCTAAAATATCCTTAGGAGAGTTACCAACATCGCGTCCATACAGATGCTCACTGCTTGTGTTTGGCTTTCTTCAACCTGTGACACTACAAGCCTGCTTTCCTCCCAGCGTATAGAGGGACCAGTGCAAGCGAGCAGCCTGAAACTTATGCTTCATTGGATTCATGGTTCACCCAGACGCAGTACCACTGACAGAAGATACTGGAGGATGATTTGGATGTATGTCCTGGTTTGCCAGAAAGCCCCAGGTTATGCCTGTTATTCTTGTTTAAGTCTTTTTCCCAGTTTCATTGAGAAATAATTGACATACATCTCTGTATAAGGCTTACAGCCTGATAGTTTGATTTACATAAGTTGTGAAATGATTACCACAATAGGTTCAGCTAACATCCAGCTTCTCCTCTAGCTACAATAAAAAGCAGCAAGAAAAGAATAAAGGAAAAAAAAAAAAAAAACAAAACCTTCTTGTGATGAGAATGCTTAGGATCTTTTTATAACAACTTTCTTAAACATCAGACAGCAGTGTTACAGATAGTCATGTTGTACATTACACCCTAAGTATTAAACTCTCTCATCTTATAAGTGGACCTTTGTATCTTTTAACCACCTTCCTCCATTTCCCCCTCTCCCAATCTCCCTCTTACCTCTAGTAACCACAAGTCTGATCTGTCTATGAGTCTGATTTGTTGTTATTGTTGCCATTTTCAGATTCAACATACAAGTGAGATCATATAGTATTTGTCTTTCCTTGTATAACTTATTTCACTTAGCATAATGCCTTCAAGGTCCTTTCATGTTGTCACAAACATTAGGTTTTCTTCCATTTTTATAGCTGAGTAATACATCACAACTTCTGTAGCTATTCATCTGTCAATGGACACTTGGCTTGTTTTCCTGTCTTGGCTACTGTAAGTAATGCTACTATGAACATGGTGGTACAGATATATTTTTGAGTTAGTGCTTTTGTTACATTTAGATATTTCCCAGAAGGGAAACTAGGGAATCATATGTGGAAGTTCTATTTTTAATTTTTTCAGGACCCTCCATGCTATTTTCCAGAGTGGCTATGCCAGTTTACATAGCGCACCGTCAGTGCTCAAGGGTTTCCTTTCCTCCACATCCACATCAGCACTTGTTATGTCTTGTCTTGTCTTTTTGATGATGATCATTCTAACAGATGTGAGGTGATGCTTCTGTGGTTTTAATTTGCATTTCCCCAATGACCACTGATGGTGAGCAACTTTTCATGCACCTGTTGACCTTTCATATGTCTTCTTTGGAGAAAAGTTTAATCAGGTCCTTTCCCTGTTGTTTAACTGAGTTATTCAGGGTTTTGTGTTCTTTATATGCATTGGATATTAACTTTTTAAAAGATATATGGTCTTCAAATATTTTCCCCAGTTTTTAGGTTGTGTTTTCATTTTATTGATGGCTGTGCAGAAACTGTTTAGTTTGATGTGGTCCCACTAGTTTATTTTATATTTTATTGACTATGTTTCAGGTGTCAAATCCAAAACATCGTTATCAAGATGCATGTCAAGGAGTTTTGCTCCTATGTTTTCTTCTAGGAGTTTCCTGGTTTTAGATCTTACATTTAAGTTTTTAATCCATTTCAAGTTAATTTCTGTGAGTGGTATAAGACATGGGTCCATGTTTAAATTTTGATAATTTCCTTTTCATTCTGAAAAAAACAGTCCTGGTTTGCCTGATAAAGTGTATGGTCACCCGATTTATGTTGGACACCTCTGTGACCACATAAGCTGGTCCCAGCTGGGGGCTTTCAATTCTAACTTTAGCATCTTCATCACCTTTCTGCCCCAAGTAGGTCTGGTAGAGTCTCTGTTTCCCAGTCTCAAAGTGGGGGTAATCACATTGACCTGGGCTTCCCCGGGCTCAGAGGTAAAGAATCCTCCTGCAATGTAAGAGACGTTGGTTGGATCCCTGAATTGGGAAGACGCCTTGGAGAAGGAAACGACAACCCATTCTAGTATTCTTGCTTGGGAAATCCCATGGATATGGGATCCTGGTGGACTACAGTCCATGGGGTTGCAAAAGAGTCAGACAACAATTGCAAAATGGTCAGACACGACTTAGCAACTAAGCAACGACAATCACATTGACCTACTTATTGTGAGCTGTAAGGAAGGTTCCTATTGTGTATTTTCTATCTTCTTAAAAGCCATTGCTTTGGTATTATATAAATTAAGACTTAAAAAAATTTGTCAGAGATGTGTAAGCCCTCTTTCATTTAGATATCCAAGAATCTGTAAGT